TCTGTTTGATATGTATTCTATTTTCTTCTATGAATCACTGATATTATTGCTGAAACATTTCAAATTGGTCGATAGGATTCGATCTGTACTAAAAAGGACATAACACACACGACATTGGTTGCTACCCAGTGATCAGTCAATTGTGAATGCATCTCAGTCCTACAGAACTTTACGACTTACCTTATGATTTGTCGCTAACACACTTCATAAATAGACTGAACAGTGATGATTTAATTAATCACTCTATACTTCCTTAATCCTACCCGGAGCCCTTCAAGAGTTACTGCTGGTCCCAAGCTAGGATAAAGGAAGAGGGCTTAACATAGGGTTAACAACCCCATCCCGTAGAAAATAACGTCAATGAGGAAGCATTAACCATAAACAATCATTTTCAATATTTAGACCGTGTCCTAGGATTTGAAGGATAATCACTTAGAAAAGCTACGAAGCCTCATGGTAATAATTGAGATTCTTCAGCAATCACGAGATCGGTACGTCTTGTAGCAAACAAAGCAACAATTAGTATAGGGACATGGAATATTTGGACAATTTGGGAGACCTGGGGGTACCATTCAAATAGCTACAGATATGCGAAGATACAACCTGGTCAAGCTTGGAATGAGTGGAACGCACTAGATGCACATTGGACAGAAAAGACTGAGTAGAAGTGGATGTGTTACATTTTGATCATGAAGAAGGGAATGCCCCACACACACGGATTTACACTGGTACTCTTCCAAGAAGCACAGAGAGCACCTATTGGATGGTGAACCCACAACCCGAAGATAATCAAAGCATCCTTCAAAACAAAGAATGGAAGCATTACAGTGAACTTCATCTACAGATACGTATCCACCAATGATAAGCATAAGTTCTATGAGGCTACAGTCCATCATAGAGAAATATCTAAGAAAACGTCTAGCCATGCTGATGAGGGACCTAGACGCCAAAGTCGAAATGGATAACACAGGATACGAATGCACCATGGCGTGAGATGGACTAAAAGAAACAAATGAGAATGGTGAGAGATTGTTGGGTCCGTTCTATGCGATGACATATACAAAATTTCACCATGCCATATTATAGAGAAAAGACAACTTCAGTATATCAGAAGATTCTGATTTCTAACAAGTACTAGCATTAAGTATGTATCTCTACAGATATCCTGGGGAAGATTCAAGAAAGGAAAAAACTGAAGTCATCATTAACAAGTAAATAAGAGCACAGAAAGCCAACGCCAGGCCAAATGTACAGAAGAGAATAGACGACTGAGGAAGAATATTGCAGCTGTTGAGTGGAAATATGCAGAGGACCTAGCAATAAGAGCAGAAGAAGATGCATGAGAGGGATATATTGGGCAACTATGTGATGCAACTAAGAAGCTTGCAAGGAAACTCGGTAAATCACAACGACTAGTTAAGAACAAAGAAGGCAAACTGATCAATGAAGTTCGAGAAAGGTTAACTAGATGGATAGAACACCTCAAGGGCTCTAGAATATAGCAGCCCCACTGAACCTATCGGATGTTGAATCAGCACACACAGACCTTCCTATACATGTTACCTCACTAACAATACAAAAATTAGGAAGGTTATCGGAAAAGTCAAGAGTAGCAAAACAGCAAAAACAGACAGCTGAAGCACTGTAATCAGATATAAAACCAAAAGCAAAATTGTTCAATGTTCACTTCATAAAGATTTAGGACAACAAGTACTAACAGACTACGAAGAGGGATACCCCGAAAAAATACCATAAAAAAGAGACCATAGTTTGCGTGAGAACTACAGTAATTGAACTGTTGTCAATCCAAAACAATGTTTTCAGGAGAGTGTAGCTGAACTAAATGAAAGATTCAGTAGACATAGAACTTCGAGGTTGAAAGGCTGGATTTCGTAAGGATCGACTAAATCGAAACAAATTGGACTATTGTTGAACAATTAATCGAATGGACTCGTCACTATACATTAGCTCTCTTGATCAGGGAACGATCGACAGCATGAATAGGAGAACGTTGTGGTATCTTCTTCGACATTATGGAGCACCTGAGGAGCTTGTCACTATCATTAAGATCTCCTATAAAGGATTGAACTGTAAACTTTCCATAAAAGCAAACTCACGGAGTAGCTTAAGCAGATATAAACATTTTAAACTGTTTGAGCCGTAAAATAAGAGTTCATTTACACCTAATTTTGATTCATTCTGTTAAAATTGTGTATAGTTATTTTTGCTAGATAAACCTTTACAACCATAGATCATATATTATATAGGTCTATGTTCAGTAAAACTTAAAGAAGTAAATCTGTAATTATTCATTGGTATTACATAATTCAATCTATTGCAAATTACTGTAATGAACGAAAACTCAGATACGGAAAACCAAATAGTTTTGTGGGAAATCAAGAAGTAGATTTGTAAAGTATACAAATAATATATTAAATACATCATTCGCATATCTCCCTCCATTTGTTCTTTACATACTTTATCATTATTTCGATCCTATTGTCATTCCGATTCCTCTTTATTTCTTTCCCTTTCTTCGTTATTTCACTCTTCTACTAGTCAGTATTCTACGTCCAATCCCAGCCACATACTACTTATGTCTGCCCGCATCAATAATGCACACCACATTACTATCACGTTCATTGTTTGTAATGTTATGTTTAACATCCAATAAAGAAATATCCTTGATTTAAGTTGTTTGGAAAATTTATTATTCTCGATTGAGTTATTCTTGAAGTAGATCTTTTCGTATGATTTAGATTTAATTCTAATGGACATATTTTTTCAACATGAAACTGATATCTAATTTTATGAGTCATAACTGAAAATTCTTAAATTCATCTCCCAGCAACATACTCAGTCACAACCGTAAGTGAATGTAGTTTTAAGTTCGTCTCATAAACTATAGTTGTATACTAAGCCTCTTTATCATACTTGTAATGAGTCTTTTTATATCAGTTTCTTTTAATTAACGATATACACAGTAGGCTACCCGTTATTTTACGTGATAGTTTGTAATGCAACTGAAATTACAGGAAAGATATAATATATAACGTTGAAAAAAATATAGCCGATCATAATCAGTTATCTTTGGCGTCATTCAAATAACTCGAATTGTAGCTCTTCAATGAATCTTTACGAGTGTATTCTTATTAAAACTAAAAGTGATAATCATTATATTCATAATTCAGTTTTTTGCAATATTTCGAAAACACGACTACATTCTTGCTGTGCCGAGTACATGTATATAAAAATTTCCAGTCATAAATGGTTTCTCTTATTTATGTTCAATATCGATTTTACAAATACCAAAGAACCGTTGTTTTTTTTTAAAATTGACTAATTCTCATAATTCATTCAAATGTAATTATTGGTTAATTTATATAACTACTTATTACAAAATCTATTGGCTAAAACCAATAGCTTAGTAGTATAAGAAATAATGCATTTACAAATCATTTTATTTTGATAATAATATTCGACCATATATAATAGTTTATGTTGGCACAGAGAAATAGTCTGTATCCACTTGAATGACCCATATTCATTTAAGCATAGTTTTTATATAGAAATAAAGCTCAATAAAATAATACCTATTAAATGTAACATGAAATTGATTATTTTTAAATTTATTGTAGGATCACATTTAACAAAGTGTATAGTAATGACATAAACTGGATAAGATTTTGATTGTTCAAAGTTCAATCCCTCTTTATTTCTCTGATTAAAATAATTGTATAATTTATTTGTCGACTGTAGAAATATCGTTTCAATCCTACATAAAATTGATAAGATAACAAGACAAAATTCCATTCTTAGCTTATTGTAATTCTTTTTAATGGTTGAGACCATGAATCAGTTGAATCTAAACCACCATGGGAACCCTGGAAGCACTGGACGGCCGTTTCGTCCTAGTATGGGACTCTTCGGCGGTGCGCATCCACGACTCCGTCTCGCGAGATTCGAACCCAGGACCCATCGTTCTCGCGCGCGAACGCTTAACCTCTAGACCACTGAGTGATACGTCCAATATTATCTTCAGTGAGTTACTATCTCACAACAAACTCGGTTGAAAGCCGCTGGTCACTGCTTCCCACTAGAACTCGTGATCTCAACTATTAAGGTTATTATAATTCTTGTTCAATATTACTTTCGTTTTTAATTCAATATGATAATTATTCACTGTAATGTTTAGTTTAAGCTTTATTCAAGATATGATATTCTTTGTGTTGAATCAACGTGAACTATAGTCAGCTTGATAAACAATATGTGATAATTCTGGATATTTTTCATATATGTGACTAAGCAATAATCAAATAAGTGTATAAATCCAAACATAAATGAATGTATTTTCTAATACAGTTATCATTGTGTTCTTTGGAGTGAATAAATCTCAATTTGTACCGGTCTTAATGCTCTTACTTCACACATCTTGGGAATTGTGATGGTTCCTTGTTACAAGAATAAGTAATAAGCGACGTGAATAAAACAAAACCTTCACCAACAATGATCATCTTATATCTATAAATGTTATATATCAATCACTAACGAAAATAAGTATGAGTAACCAATGTTGTCAAATTTTCTATTCTCTGACTATTTAATAACATCGCTAACAATATTCTGTAAAAAGTAGAGGAATTAATACATACGATTAATTCTAGTCTAAATATCTATATTTAAACATGTTGGATGAAAATGTCATGATATTTCATACTACTCAAATTCCATCATTTCGACTGAATCATAATGCTTTATTGTACTAAGAAAAATAAATCAGATTTTTAGTTTTGAATAAAATTATGATAATCATTAGAGTTCCTGAAATGAATAGTACAACTAATCGAAAGTGGTATGAAATAGGATTTAGTTTCACAAAGAATCTTTGCGCATTTCTACCTTATAGACGCTATTCACTCTTAACACAAAGCATAACTTATCAGCCGAAAACTTAACAATAAAGTATCACTTGAAATATGGGCTATTAGAAAGAAATATCTATAGGATAAGCCTGTATTTGAAAAAAAAAACACAATACAGTGCAATAAAGGTGGATGTGCGTAAGTGAAATGCTTAGATACAATGGACAAATGAAGATATTCATTCCCAATTGAGACAAACGGTTTAAAATCACTACAACATTCCATAATACACAACGTCTGTTTACAAAATTTAGTGAATTGTCAACACTAAGCATCAAAAAATTGTAAGGTGTGTGTGTGTGGAAATTTTCGTTTAGTTCTGCGTGGTAAAATTTCACTTTCTTGAAAAAAAATATTAACAATTAGTAGTTTATTTAAGACAAAGAAACTGTCAGATAAAATAGACTACAATTACAACTCTTTAATATCATAGTTGGCATACAAAAAACGTATCAAGGATAGGCATTCAATATTAATAGCTGGTAAATCATTCACTCGCGCACAAAAAAGCATTGTTGGAATAAAGTCATGGGTACGGCGAAGTGTATGAATAACTTTTTATCAATACAAAAGCATGTAGTGTTTTAGGGGAAGTGAAATTACGAAACAGTGAATATAGTAATAATAATATAATAACAATAATGATAGTGTGATAATAATAACAATAATAATAACATAAAAATACAGAACCTCAGTCCACAAAATTAAGACTATAAAGATTCACAAATACAAATGAGAAGACAAAAGGCATTAGGAAAAATAGGAGATTAGTACCTTTTTTACCATTCATCATTTTAGACGTGGATAGTTATTACTAATAACACTGATAACACGGAAAAAGAAAACAAAACACAAGTGCATAAGAGAGTATCGGTTACGCCAAACAACTCTTTTCAAAGAGAAGTGGCAATAAAAAGAAGTGGAGTTGGAGAGGGGATAGAAAGAAAGAGCAACACACAAGTTTACATTGGTTTGACAGGGAACTGTCGATTAGTTAAGTAAATTTGATTCGGATACATTCTTTGACCCTGGTGGAGTTACTGTTAAAGAAAAACAGAGAGATAATAATATTGGGCATTCTATAAGCAGAAATTTCGCTTTGATAAATATGAAGACGAACAATAATTTAAATTATTTGTTTAGAAAAGAAATATTATCAAAAGTTAAACACTGTAGAAACAAATAGAAATAATATCCTAAATACCATTAATGATTAAGATTTAAAATTAGATAGATAACGCGGTTAAGCTTGTTTATTATACGTATCTAGAAACGCTGTATTAATCGGACATTTTGGTTCTTTATTTGACTAAAAGATAACGATAAGATCAAGGCTGGCTACTGTCCCAGTATAACAGTGAAATATAAGGACTACACCATAGATCTTAATTGCTTCTGATTGTGATAAGTTGTAAGTATATCACTGAGTGACCAATATCTATGTAAAGATTACCGTTATTTGGCAAGGTAAAAGGTTAGATAGGTGTTTGTTCACTTTCTGACCACCCAAAAGTTCTATTACTAGGATTCTGACTATGCTTAGAATCAAGTTAATATGCACTCAAGTATGACCATTTGCAGAAAAAAGTCAATTAATTGTTGAATAATCTAATCAACAGTAACCCAGAGAGTAATTTTAGGGAGGAATACCAATCTTGAGTGATGATATATAGCTTTTGAATACAAAATTGCTAGTTAATATATTATAATTGGTACCAATATTTCAGGATATGTATCTAGTAAGAATGCTTTATGTATTGAATTCAGAGATAAATGGAGGAAACTTGGACGAAGAAAAGATTCCACATGCTGAATCTCAATTATCAGACAAGCGGGGTGTGAATACACGGACAGTAGTCAACAATGTTATCAATAACACGGTAACGGTCCAGTTTTACGAAAAGCAACACGAACATTTGGATTGTGAAGTTAACTTTGGTATTTAATAAAATGTGGTAAGTTTCCATGCCAATGTTGTGTTGAATTTTATAATTTGTTCAAAATTCCAAGGAAAATACGAAGTACAATTGACATAGAAAGTATAAGATCATTTGTCATTAAATACATCAGACTGAATAAAGGCCTAAGCTAGGCTAGATACTCAAATAAAGCGTAAATAATCAAGTATCATATTGTTTGAATGACATCAAATTATGACCATTCAAATGACTAAAGGCTGTAATAATTTATTTTCAACAATAAACTAATATTTTAATGGCAAAGGAAAACAGGTAGAGTTTAGTCAGCCACAAGTTTATACCGAAACAACTTAGAATAAAGGTATATTCCGAAACTGCTTCTTATTCTTAAAAATTTAAAGCATCAAACATATATTTTCTGAATAAATCAATGAAAAAATAACACACCTGAATTAGCTCCGATTCAAATTTCGATATGATTGTTGTTCTGTCATCAGTAGAAATTCCATTACTAGTTAAAATTAAATTCTGATTAATTAAACTAGAATCAGTTGTTAATGATGATTTTTTTGGCCTGGATGAAACAGCAGTGGAGGCGGATGAAAGAGAACAATCGGACTTAGTAATAAACGGACTAGTGCCCATAACAGATGCCGTACTCTTTCCATTAGTTAAACATTTTTCACTTGTGATATTTTCTGTCAACATTGACGAGTTTTTACTCTTATTTACTTTATCGTCAGTTTCATGTAATTTTTTTGAAGATGGTGCATTTATAGAGACAGGTGAATGAGGACGTTTACGATCATAGACAGGACCATTTGCAACTGATAACTTTAAAGTTGATGATAAATCTAATGGCTGAAACACAATACCTTTACGTGAAGCCATTGAATCAATCACATCATTTAAGCGTCGTGCTCTCCGTGGTCGAGTCAATAAAATTGATGGATCGTGTATACGTGCTATTATTGGCTGAGCTAAAATTAGAAAAAGTGTATAAAAAGTGAAAGCTTAGTGATGATTCATATGTTGTAAGGTAAAGATGAAAGATTAATCTTCTAAAAAGTATATTCCGGACGTCATGTGTTAGAGAACAATCAGTAAAGTGAGAACTATCCAATAGATTATATGCTACATAAAGACTTAGTAACCACGTCAATAAGATCTTAATCTTTCTAGCGAATATAAATCTACTGTATTAGACACGTACAAAAGTGATTGATTTGTAACATAAGGATTAAAAATACTTCGTTACGTACGACGTGGGAGGTAATTAAAATACATAGGCACTATTTAACTACTAATAAGTAGGTAAACAAGAAAAATAAAAAATCAGCATTACAAAAAAGTGATAGTCCTAAGCAATTTCTTTCTTCAACTTTTATTATAAAAATAGAAGTTAGGACGATCTACGTGATAAACAAAAGATCTTGCCGACTAATTTTTTTCAAAACAATGAATTCAGGACGAATGTGATAAATCTGATAAATAAAAATAAGCACAAAGTATTGTGACTAGGCAGAAATTTCAACAGTAAACCGCACGGGAACCTAACATATATTATGTAACCAATTGATTTACAAATATCATACTGGTAATAGGAAGATAAGTGCAGGGCGATGAATAGATTTCAGTGATATTCTAGATTATGAGCAGACATACTCGAAAAAATATGACCAGGAAAAGTTTTCAACAGTGTTGATGAACCGAATGAAAGATTAAGAAGACACCCAACTTCGAGATCAAAAGACCGAATCCCGTAAGGATAGGTCATGTACAGGCCAAATTGTGACACTGCAGATCATTGCTGAACAATAAAATGAATGGAATTTGCCACTATACACCAACTAAAGTGTATGGAGGACAGCTGTCATATACATTACAAATGAGGACCGGAGTCAGACAAGGCTGCTTTCGCTCATCCTTTCTTTTTCTTCTGGTGGTTGACTGGATTATGAAGACCTCTACATCTGGCGGGACTCACGGGATACAAATGACAGCATGCATGCAACTAGACGATTCGGACTTGTCACATGACCTAGTTATTCTATCCCATACACACCAAGAAATGTAGGTCAAGACAACCAGTGTGGCAGCAGCCTCGATATACACAAGGTGAAAAGCAAGATCCTCAAATTCAACACGAAGAACACCAAATCAATGACACTTGATGGAGAAACTCTGGAAGGCGGTGGGAACTTTCACGTTGATAAACAAAGAGGATGTGATGCAGATGTAAAGGCAAGGATTCGCAAAGACAGCTTTCCTACATTTAAAGAATAATGTGGAACTTAAAAGAACTATCAACCAATAGCAAATTCAGAATCTTCAATACGAACGTCAAGACATTCTTATTGAACGGAGCTGAAACTTAAAGAACTATTGCAAACATTATTAAAAAAGGTGCAGATATTTATAAACAATTATCTACACAAGGTACTCTATGTCCGTTGGCCAGATAACATAGCAACAACCTACTGGGAAAGAGGAAAACCCAGGTTCTAGATGGAGAGGAAATTACGAAAAGACGTTGGAGGTGGTTACGACATACGTTGCAGAAACCATAAAACTGCATTATGAGGCATACTCTAACTTGTTTGGAATCCTGGAGTCAAAAGGAAAAGAGGACCAAAGAACACTTTGAATCGGGAATTGGATGAATGAATAGCTCTTGGAGAAAACTGGAAGAGCCCAGGACAGAGTTGGGTGGGGAATCCTGGTGGGTGGACTATGCTCCTCCACGATGAGTAACAGGAATAAGTAAGATCTGGAGTTGATTAACATGGGCACATACAAATAGATGCTGAAGTCTTATCAAAGTACAAATATTTGGTACAAATGATAGTAAAGTACAGAGACTGAAAAAAACTATTATTTGATTATTAGTAATATTACGATTATCATCACAACTACTGACCAGCAGCCTTCAGTGTTGCATACATCAACATCATATTAGATTCAGACAAATTATCCATCTCTGTTAGATTAGATTCATTGCATTCGCTTTCATGTTGGACTTGTTGCTTAGATGAGAAAATTTCTGGTACTCCACCAGGATGTCGAGCTAAGCGTAGAGGTTGAACAAGATTTGGACAAAGTATGCGTGCTAGACGTATAATGGGCGGAGTTCTAAAGCATTGCGTTCCTCTTGGGGTACCGATTAAAGTACCAAAGAATCCAGATCCATCAATTAATTTACTATTAGCAGCGGAAAGATTAGCATTATTAGTCATGTTTGTAGCAGACGTATTATTATGATGATGATGGTCATTTGTATATGTATCAATGTCACCACCATCTAAAGCCTGAAATAGTAGCAAAAGTGTAGAAAAAACGACTCATAATAAATTAAGAAGTGAAACAATAATTTAAAACTATGACAGTTAAGTGAAGATCAGTGAAAATAAGTGTCTGAGTTTTGATGAATATTTATGTACACAAGTACTTTCACGATATGAGACTTGGTACTTATGGAAGTTCAAACTGATAATTCTGCTGACGACACTAGAGAAAAATTATAGATATATAAACAGACAGACAAGCACACAAACACGGACACACACATATATATACACATACATATAAATTGAGTGTGACTGACAGGTATGATAACACTACTGGCCACATAAGAATTGAATGTACATGAATAACTATGTATATATGTGTTAAAGAGAAAGAGGGGGTTTCATATTAATCATTCATGTGATGATGACTGTGATAACAAATTGTTAAAAGCGATAGGGGTACGAAAAAAAGAGATAAGTTAAAGAGCTTAAAGAGGTATCATACATTAATTAAGTAGTTTAGTTCAGTAGGTGGATAGATTGTAACTGCAAATTCTGTTTACTTCTGTTTTGATTCTCAGAAATAAACGAGAAGTTTACACATAAAGTTGTTTGAGTGCATAAATCAAATATCGTGAAGTGAAATAAAACAACTGATTTTCTTTACAATTACGACAGATTCATTGTCTTGTTTCCTCCATAATACAATAAAATACAGATGACTTTTTCAAACTTATGTATAGTAGACGATTTTCGTTCAAATGAGAATAATTTGTTTGCTTTTAACTAGAAATCTTTATTAACCATTTGAATATTTTTGCTATGAAAATATAAGTAGTAGATGGCATGGCTCAGAATCAATCACAATGGTATCGGTGTATACACTCTTTGTCTTCCCTTAAACTGTGAGATTAAAATTACTTTATACATTTATTTCTATGAACTATTTATTTCTTCCATATACACAATCTTTCTTTTCTATACTATTAACATTGAAATAAATGCTTCTATGAATTAGGTGTTCATCTTGTTGTGCTAATGAGGTGTGGCAACTTGGACCGATGCATATATGTGCCTGGTCCTACGTTGTAGATGACTATATATATCGAAAAGAGTAACAATGAAAAAATAAATCAATGGTGACTAACAACACGAATGCTTTGAATAAATATAACACCATTTGATAAGGATCTAACTTCAGACATACAATTTACAAAGCAAACTACATTTTAATAGTATTAGTTTAATATGAAGAATATTGTTCAGTGCTTTTCAAGACTGGTGGTTTATGATAGTTGAATAAAGTCACTATTGTTATATTATCATAAAATATGCAAAGTTTACAGTTAAATAAATGTAGCTATTAAAAGCAAATAGTCTCTTTTATAAATTTCAATAGAACAATGAGAAATGGATCTGAAAAATGTGACGTATTTGCGCCATACATTTCGAACAATCTGGTCACACATATACTTGTCAAGACAATTTGTATGGAAATTAATAAATGGCAATTAAATAAAGGTTCAAGTAAATAAATTAATAATTATCAGTAAAGGGTTGTGGAGATTGTTGAGCTTAGACTGATATCATGAATGGATCAATGTTAAAGAAGTCCCATACTAGGACGAAACGGCCATCCAGTGCTTCCGGATTTTCAATGGTGGTCTAACATTGATCCATTTATTAAATTAATAATTGTAAATAAATGGTAGAGAAAAATTACTATATTACTAAAAAATTGCTATAATTACGTAGTTATTTAGTTATAACTCATCAGAATACTTATTATAATTCTCTCAGTAGTACAGTTACAAACTATTATTGAATAAAATTAATTGATTACAAAGTATGTCAAGATTATTTTTTAAATGTTTAATAAAAAGCCTACATCACTCACCCCACTTGATAAGCCAATAGAATGAGATTTGAATTGATGATTCACTGATCCGGTAATGTTAATAGGACCACCAGATTTTGAATTAGTTTCAACTGTTGAATTGTTTAACTGTTGCTGAGTGCGTAAGGTTGTAGTAGGACGCTCTAAAAATAAAATAATGTCAGAGAAAAGTTAGGAAATCATATTTACAATTATTATCAAACGATTTGTTTGGAAAAGTTAGGAATGAATGGTCAAATCAAAACATTACATCAATCTATGAAGCCACTGACTCTTAGACTGAGATATGTTGGTAGGTGTAAACTACCTTATTGAAGCACTTGTGGCTATCGCAATCGATGATTAGAGGTTTTGGGTGACATGGTTCAGGAGAGTTTACCATAGCCCTCCTAGTGCATTCAGTTTTTGTCTTCCCTTAGATCCTAAGTTGCTAAAATACCATTTTATTTTTATTCTATGAATCCATATTTTCTTCTTGAATCATATCTTCTACACCTAATATTTCATATTACCGCTAATACTGTTACTACATTTACTACTCTGAGATATGCTTTGATAATTTCATTTAGTTGCGCTAACGTAGTTCGTCAGCTTGGATCGATGCATATACGTACCAGGTTCTCTGTTGTGTATGACTGCATTTCTTTACAGTATAATACAGTAAATAACTCTATATTGGATGTCAGAAAACAAAGCGAAAGTCATCCAAAAATATACAGTTCACACTATAGGTCACAATTTGTATCATTAAAACAAACAACTTGGATGATATCATCAAAAGGATGGTAAACGTTTTAGGAAAAAAACGATCTAAGTAAAAAGAACTTTTTCTGGAAATACTGATACATCAACCTTGAAACACAAAAATTATCGTAGTCAAACGGACCACGTCATATCAGTATATACAAGACAAATGTAGTCTCAAAACAGCTATAAAGAGCCCCTATTTCACTAATGATAAAAAGTAGATTTTGGAAAGAAACAAGAAATGTGTTTGCGTTATAATTGGATAGGATGTGAGTGCTGAAAGTGTATAATTCAGATGAATATCTTATTGTAATTTCAAATACTTTAGAATATTTCAAAACCAAAAGCAACAACGGATACTACGGCATTGTTGAAACACGACAAGAATCATTTCCGGAATATCGATCGCATTATATATATATATATATATATATATATATATATATATATATATATATGTTGCCAAGACAATTCTGTCTTTATTTTCTGTAATACGATTACGATAGTAATGCTTCAGAGACATGGTTCATATTTTATTCAATTAAGCTTTTGATATGTACTTAGTATGTTAAATGATTTTAGTAATCTAGTAAATTTGGTACATTATTATTTCTGAGTATCAGTAGGACAACTGCAAAAAATCATAATCATTTGATATTACAGTGACATTGACCGGTTTCTATGTCTAATATTGAATTAAATATTAAACATTTATTCTTTTTAACATATTTAGTAAAACAAAAGTGCAAAGCAATATCCATGTTTCCATCTACTTGAGAAAAGCTAGTTAGATATGGATATTTACATTTCATTAAACAAAGATTCACAATTTGGACCTAGTACTTAAATCACGAATTCCAGTACTTAAATCATTTTCTCAGTAGATCGAGTATAAACGGATACGATCCGAGGGTATCAGTGATTGAATACTCACGATTTTTAACTTTTCTCTGGTACTGATAATCGTGTCACACACTTGTATAGTAAACTAGGGTGGATAATTGCTTCTACTCGTATCGTACCGATCGACTACATAAGTGACATAAATATTGCAATATTCTAGTGAGTAGTTATATTTATGTACAAAAAGACTGCTATTTGATGACAGTCTATGATCAATTCAGTTCAACTGATTAATAAAGAATAAATTACCAAATCGTATTAAAGGACTATATCATTATTGATATTTTGATGGGTAACAAACATTAAAACACTATAAACAGATGCTATACAGAGAAAGACAGAGAGAGAAAGGAATAAAAACAGGCAATAACTAATTAAATAATGACGAGTTATTAGAACAAACAAAATATAATGAATACAGGATATTAGTAATGAAAATTCATTCGTAAGAAGTGCGAAACACTAAGAAAAAAGTTACGGTGACTGAATACGAGTGAGATATGGAACTATATATATATATATATTACATATTGTTTTGACAAAAATCAATATATATATGCATATGCATACAAACTTATTGATTATAAAAATCTGACACAAATATGGCCGCAAATGTCAAACAGATTTTGCTATCATTGTATTTATCGATTAGCTATGCAAACATAAAATACTACAAGAATGAAGTCCAATACAGATTTCAAATGGCTAACTTCAGTGAGACTCCGACTGCATAAGATGTATATATAAGTTGTTGAAGGATCGCAATAATCATAATAATAATAACAATGACCAGTAACCAACAGCATAAACTGACATATGATAGTTTTATACTTGACAAGAAAATGTTCTAGACGATCAAGGTACCAACCATCATATGAATAAGAATTATTTTGAACTACTTGAATAAGGACCAACAGAACATCAAATGTCCTGATACGTTCGAAGTTGGGGAGGGTCTAAGGAAGTACTACTCAGAGCCTTTTCGCTGTGGTGTTATATAGCGAATTGGGAGGACGAAAAGTGAATGTCCGGCGCCTTACCCGGGTTAGTGAGTATGGAAGATCCATCAAATAGAGTTGAAAAATTCAGATTCCAAAATAATGGTGCACATTGGCTACAGGATCCTGAGGGAACAAATGATGTATGAACCTATTGTTGGTTATCGACTATCATAGGACTACATCTCGTAAGGTTGCTCCACTGCCTTGTGGATTAGACCTCTAGATCAAAGGCTTGGATAGTGGCTTCCTAGGAGAATCACCTGCTTCGGTTCGAGCGCCCGGACGGTGTTTCAGCCCAGCTCACACAAATCGAATGACGAAGTATGATGCAAATATATTTTGTGTCTGCTTGTGCCAATGTCTATGTGTTTAAATAAATTAATTATTATTTATCAGTACTAAGCATTTTACAACTGAATAGCTATTCAAGACTTTAAACGGTTAGTAAACCACACAAACAGCTTGAGGCATGAGTATAAACTGTGATAATGAAAGAGGAAATCGATTCCGTTTATTCAGTTATAAACAATGTAGAATCTAGGGCATAAATATAAATCAATCCGAGTTGTCACATAAATTCTGCACAAATAAATGAAATTCCCAGCACAACTGGCAAGACAGTAGATGTAATAACAGTATTAGTTGTTGTAGAAAATATTAGGGATAAAAAATATGATTCCAGAATAAGGGACAAAGTTGTGGAATACAGAGAAATCATAAGATAGTTCCGAAACTAATGCTTTAAAAGAAATTGACAAGATGAAAGGTAAACGTGTGTAAATTAATCAGATATCCGGTGGTAGTGGATAAAGTGTATCAATTAGGTATACAGTTGAAATGGAATGAATGATGTTTAGCAATATAAATAACAAAATCACTAGTAATACAAGTAATATTAATAAAAACAATTGTGAGAGAAAACAGTCGAAAAGGCAAAAGAAAAATAACGAAATTCTCAATTATGAGAAGAAAACCTAATGGAATTTTCGCTTCATCTTGATAATACACATTCACTTGTAATAAGCTTCTTTTCCCTAGGTATGCTAACTTCTATGATAATTTTGATTTTAAAATATTCCAGATTGAAAGCAGCTGATGAGAATCTTATGAAATGGAGTGAATTTATACGTAGACTATTCAGATTTTTATTTCTGCTCTCTTCAAGATCATAGATGGAATGATATTTATATAAAAAAATACATGATAGTTGACTCATTTTAGTTTTACTCCATAAAGAAGTAAATAACTTAGGAAAAAAAAAGACCACAACAAGGAAAGTAAATAATAGTCAATAAACAGCTGAAAATTAGAGTCTACTTGGCGATTTCGGCTTAGTTTAATACTAACAAAAAGTATAAACCATTTACAACATACACTTTGAAGTTCTTTGAAACGGATCAATATCCCTTCTCTAATCTCTTAAGATGCATCCAAGATGCCAGACCTATCGGTCAAATAATAAGTGCGCCTGATTGATTAGTCAAGAAATGACTCGGATTTTTACGGAATGAGACATACGCAATCAGTGGCCTAATTTTCTAACGGACATATGTATGAATACATATATACACAGTTCTGATGGATTTAGTCAAAAAACTTGCTTCTCCCTTTCAGCCTTTTCCTTCGTCCAGCCGATCGGGCTCATATATAAGGAGATTCTATATTAATATCAAAACTGGACACCGTACATCACAGGGCAGAAACGATTATAAATCTACTAACCATTAATTTTTTGACTTTGGATAAAGAGAAATGAAACAACTTCCCAATGACTTTTTACCCTTAGTTGTTATGTAGCCGATGATATGTGTTCGTAATGATAGTAGTGGCAACTTATAAGGTAAATCGTCAAATTTCTAGGAGAAAAATACAACATACATGAAGTTAAGACAATATTACATCAATATATGTATCCTTTTGATAAACACTAAATATCTGCTTCAAATAAGACAACATGTATGTCGAATAAATGGATAGTCAAATGAAGTTAATATTGTATCATGTGATGATGCTGATGATAATTCTCCTTTGTCACGTTCTTTAAAAAATAATAAGATAAACAAATAAATCAGTATCTATGATAACTCGCAACATGATTATATAACGTATTATATATATATATATATATATATATATATATATATATATATATATATATATATATATATCAAATTAAATAAATTACCTTTAGATTCGATACTTTTCAAACCACCATAACGTTTCCAATAAGACCAACAATCAGTACATAGACGAGAGTTAGCATTCGATGGACCCCATGCATACCATTGAGGGGAATTTAATGCTTTAGTTAATAAATGAAAACAAATGCTCTCATAAGACAACTATGGATATAAACAAACATATCAAGTAGTTAGTTACTTTACGAATATGAAATTCTTGATAAAATGATGAATTTATTCTTAAAATGAAGAGATTTTCATAAAGTGATTTGAAAATATATGAAAACTTAATGTTAAGTAATTTTTTTGGTGCAGTATAACAAAAAACGACTTCAATTTCTCAGTGAATAAAAGTGGAAATATATCTAAAAGATGGGATCGTGATTAGACAATGGTTAGTTAATTTATCTATCTATATACAAATAATCAAATCATGTCAATCAATTTACAACCCAGTGAGCTTATATTCACTCGCTTGCAGAAGACAACGATGGACATCTGAACTTTATAAAAATCTTAAGCAAAATGCAATAGTTAACAAGTTGAACCACATGTCTAAGTAGACAATATCCAAGAGATGTGAGCCTCAAAAGTCCAGAAAACCAAAACAGTTAATACAATGAGAAAAAACCTAAGAAAGATGTGTAGGCTTTTGCTTTGCACATACAACTTGAGGAAGTTACTGGAAAGAACAAACTTTATCACTGTGTAAAAATAGAACCAATTGGTATACCCAGCATCTGAAGCGAAAAGATATGCTGCCCATTTATCTTAAGGTAAGTATGTAGAACAATGGTGTGGTTGGTTATTTAAATCTGTTAGGAATTGGTAGTCTATGCAATCACAGAATCAGTTAAAACCAATCAAACTAATGGGATCAAAATGTCAGTATCGTATGAAGTACCCAGCATTTGAAATAGAAGACATCATCTAAAAATTTAGAAATGGTATACATATTTTAATATTGAACATAAGTGACTGAGGTGGATTTAGATTTAGAACTCAATCGATTGAAACTTCCTAATACAGTAGTTACACACTGAGTGAGATTTGTGTATTGTGTGTATACAAAACGGATACATAACCCACGTGTTTATGGTAATAAGACAGAAATCACCTAATATGAAGACACCAAGGAAGTAAGAAAATATAATACCGATAATATTTTAAATTACGTCACACATGTGAAAAATAAAAAGGACCACTAAAAACAGGAAATATATGTCACAATATGAACCTAGAATACCAAATTAGAAAAGTATTTATCTAGTAGTGAAATTTGTTTGCACAAGATCATCATCTAATTATAAGAAGTTCGGTAAAAGAAACTGATGGTTACTGAAACTAGAATTTTAAAGGTTTCTTCTAAAACTGACAAACATATAACAAGAAAAATACGTATATGCAATAAAGTGGAGTTTATAGTAAATAAGAACAACAACAGAGACAGTCGATAACTTCAACAAATAACCTATCAAACTCACTGAAATCTCATGATTCAGTATGATGGAGATATGAAGGACAAAGAACTAACGATATGACGAAGACTTAGATCATTAAACAAATATAGCGCAGACAACCTTTAGTAAGTACATTTCATGGAATATAATTAGTCCTGACAACTAAACGATTATCGATTTAGTTTAATTCTTTTTTCATAGATATTTTCTCTATTTTTATGTGTATATCTCAGGAAAATGAATCACATTAAAACTCTAGTCGTATAATACTAGAAATATAACATCAAATTAAATTAATTGATAAATGTATTCTGCTGAGAGATATGAATGAAATAAAAGTAGATTTATACGAATATTCATTATTATTAGAACGAATAGTTTGACAGAAATTGGGTGCCGAGTATAGAGAAGCCATTATATGTGGAAATTATACTTGAAATAATTTCAGCGATTGAAATTTAAATAATTTCAACGTTTCGTCCAACAAATTTGTCTGGACTTCTTCAGGATAATAATCAAATTCAAAATTATCAAGGAAATAGAGAGTGTTTTTCTTTTTTTTGAGGAAAAAGAAGAAAAAATAGCGAATTAACTCACATCCACATCCTTCACATGGTCGATTAATTGTTTTATCCGTATTATGATACAATACAGCTGGATTAGGTTTATTATAATTTGGAATATAAACTTGTTTTAATTTATGTTCCTGAGCAGCTAATTTAGTACGACGTTGTCTAACATAACGATCTGTAGTTTTCCAAAAATAATAAAGTTCAACTATTGATTTATGAGTTTTCCATGGTAAGCAATTAGAAAGTATATCTGTGAATACTTTCGAATATTTATCTAATGCTTCTTCAAATATATTTGTTTCATTTGCAGACCAATCTTCTAACTGATCACGATAAATAATAGGTTGACCACCTAAAATTAAATATTAATTAAAATTTTCTTTAATAATAATAAAGATTATAAGAGAAGTGGCGGCTTAACGAGAAATTGGTAACTTGACGACCTCATTTTATTCCATTAATAAAAAAGTCATGTCAAAATATATAAACTTCTAGGTTTCGGCCGGTGGAATAGATATCATTTGTAGTTGAAGTTATTTTCTATCCTCCTCTAAATCTTAAATTCTGTGTCACCAAATACTCTTCATTCTTCGACTAGTTTCGCTATTTATATCTTATATCTGATTTCGAATGTCAGTGATGCATAGTATGCTGTGGTGAGGTCTAACAACTTGGACTGATATACACCAGTCCTAGGTGTCACCTCAACTATAACAGCCTAACAACTTGCAAAAAAGGATTTCATTTAACATACTAATTGTGTACATGTTACTGGGATATGATTACTCTTGAAGAGACAAAGGCACTAGAAGCATTATCCATCCTTTAGTTCATATTCATCTTTTAAAAAAGCTATTTAAATTTATCAGCTACCAGAAAGTAGTTAATATCAGTTTGATCTATAATTAGCGCCTGCCAAATTTTATCGGGTCAGTCATATGATTACGAAGTTAGATGATTAGGAATCAGTTAGCTATAGTCGATAATGCTGAAAGATACCCACAGGTAATAATAATAACAATGTAGCATGTCAAAACTAAGTTATGAGTCACACTTATACAACCTTTAAACATCTTAGGTAACTCTGCTATAAGGAATCTAGATTAAAAGTTTGAATCTATAGTCAAATAGTTGGAAGTTGAGTGTTAATGCTATTCAGCTAGAGAGCTTTATAATATCTACAATCTCAATCAAAGTTGTATCACTTAAAATAAAAACACTACTACTAACGACCTAATCAGAAATACATAAAACTACGCTCCATCAGTAATTAGAAAGTAAAATATATGTCAACTGAAAAATGCTAGATAATAAATATAAACGTCTAGTTTATCAAAGACAATGTAGTCATAGTGAAACTTGAGTACTTTGATAGTGATTGGGTGTATGTTAATTACAGTATGTACATTATTGCTAAGATATTAGTAATTCTTCCAATTGTTAGCAGCATTGAATGCAAACTATCCTCAAACTTGGTCTCGAATTAAATACTTAGCATCAGTTTGAAAATTCACTGATGAAAGTATCCTAATCATACATTAAATAATAAACAGCTATATACACTTTCGTTTACATTAAATATCTATCATACGTACTTATTCCATTTTGAGAATCACTCCTCGAATTGTCAAGCTTATAAATCTGTTATGTATTTTATTCATGTAATTCTTAATGAGCATTCATCTTTTTTTATTCAACAACAATATACATATATAAGCATAGAATTCCATTCTCCACAGGATGCTAGACACTTTAGCTCGATCGATTTTTCTTTGTCAGTATAGAATCTATACACATATACATATGCACAAATAAATATAAGAATATATATATATATATATATATATATATATATATATAGAGAGAGAGAGAGAGAGAGAGAAAGAAAGAAAAGAAAGAGAGAAGTCTTAATGAACTTTGCATCGGGTCACGAAAACAAGCCAAATTAGGAAGGAAAAAACAAAAAGCCTTTTGAGGTAGCTGTTGCAAGGCCCAAATAGAAGGTAATGAAATAATATTCATTACAAGAAATAAATAAAATTAAACTAACCAGGTAATAGAAGATTTATGGCTTTATTCAAGTCGTAATTGGCTTCATGAAGTATATCATGCGCATGTTGACGAGTTATATCACGTGCAGCTGAAGCTGTAGCACTCAGTAGAAGTGGTTGTCTAGTAGATGATGAAGTATCATGTGCACGACCGTATGTGCCAACGGCTTTGGCTAATAAACAAAACATATCGATCTCTTGAACTGTTAATGAATGGGAAGGGGACCAAACTAACTCCTCATGTACTTCAGTCAATCGTACATCTTCTGATTCTACAATCAACATAAAAATGAATTTGAATTTAGGATTTAATAAAAGAATTCTTAGTGATGAATACAATTTTCAAGCATTTTTCTAAGACATGGTTGTACATTGATTACAGGATAAAGTCAATCTGAAGGAAATAAATAAACTAGAGTGATGTATAAGTTCTTTTTCCGAGTTTATTATTTCAGAATATTTAGTTTTTTTTCTCTAGTGACTTTCTGGACTGAACACAACTAAGTTGACAGTTATATTAATTTCCAATGACGTCTTACACAGAACCATTCAAATCAAACCTTTTCTCAACACTGCAAACGTCATTATTTGTTATTGTTATATTATTATTATTTGAAAAATTGACAAATTGAATTTCCGTTTCAAAGGTACGTGACAAAAGACGTACACTGTAGGGTATCCCATAAGGTTCCATATAATAGCAACCTATATCGCTGAAAACAACAAAAATAATCAGGACTGAACGACTGAACTTGACTTCCTTTCAATCAAATTCCAAGTAGTGTTAACATTTTAATACATTAAATGAGGAAAAAAACAGTAGATAAGAGATTAGTGAGTTAGTTGTCGAGAATTCTTATCACTTTAACATTTTTACCACTGAAATTGATATCATCAGAAATAGCGCGGTAGCTAGTAGGGAGAAATTTAGCTGTTAATAAATAGATTTGAGAAGTCAGCTGATACAATATACTAGCAACAACATAGGAGTCGGTAATTTGAATTGAACAACAATAAGCATAGTCCTTGAATACCAGTCATTATTCACGGCAATCGGAGGAAGTAACAACGGGATATATATATATATATATATATATATATATATATATATATATATATATATATATATAACTTAAACATCAAATTTTAATATTCGCAAGCATAATAAGAATGTTACTCATCAATTTAAGAAGTGAAATAACAATAATGTAAAAGTTATGCTGGATTATGAAAACAACGAAAGAAACTATAAGCGAATGAAAAGCTGCAATAAATAAACCAATCAATAAGCAACCAATATAGTTGGAAAGCAATTTACTTGATTTCAGTAAGCATTGTATCTCAGACTGATAATCTGATCCAATTCTCATTGAACCTCTATCTTCTTGAAGAGTTTTTAAATTAGGATCATATATAAGTTTATAATAAAATGCCTCATCTCTGACTAGGTAATTTGTCAATGGTTCTGCATCATTGTGTAGTGTAACCGAGCATTTGCCTGGATAAAATATAAATAATAAGTTTATGAGGAGCATTAAACTAGACCTAATATGATCTATTAGTCAAAACACTGTCATATATATAAACTTGAATACCCCCAAACGATGTATTTCCTGGTGTTGAATTTAGTTAATAAATTAAAAGATGAAAGGACAGTGATAAAACAGATATATAAACTCTTCATAATCATAGATAAACAAGAATATCCCGTTGAATTTCATCTTACTAAAAGTGTTTTCACATTTCACATTCTTACATAATATCAATAGACGATCAGATTAATTCGATGATAATAATAATAATGTAGGAGTTTTGACTTGAAAAGTTAAAAATTTTACAGGAAAAAATGAGTTTTGTCAAGATTGTTGATAAATTTTGATGAGCACAAAAGTTCATCTAAATATACAACATACAATAAATTGAGCTGAAGAACATGTTGCAAGCTACTGAGTAATAAAGTATACTTAATACAAATGAATAGTAATACGAATTATATCCTATGTGTTAGAATATATTGGTGACTGTTTGAATAATCTAATATGTGGTAGTAATTCAATAGTAAGTTTCAAAATCCTAACACACTTGAACAAAGAATGAAACTGACAAGAAATTTTTATATTGAATAACAAACAAAGAAAACAATGGATATATTAAAAAAATGCAAATATAATTAAAATAGTCCAATAATATGTTACCCCTAATATGCGTAGCTGGTAGACATTCAACTTGTCGTGAAAGAAACAATTCTCGATGTTTTAACTGATGCTTCTGTTGTTCAGTGATTACAGTATTAGAGCGTTTTAAGCCTTCTTTGGAGTTATTATCATTATTATTTGAATTGGCTATTTCATTTGTACATTCTTCATCATAATCATCATCACTGCCATCTATATTAGAAAATATAAGATGAAATGACAATACAAAGCTAAACTGTATACATATACATGTACAAGCAGTGAACATAAAAAAAGATATTTTTCACATTACTGTCATTACTATCATTGATAGAAATAAACAGCCAAATGATTTCAAAAGTGTAATTCAATCTACGCTCAATATCTCTAAACAATAAATCTGGAATGTCTGTACGTAGGGGAAACAACTTAACTTTTAAACTTGATACAACACTATATGTGAAAATTATATTTGAAATATTCTCAGCGATTGAAATTTCAATCGCTTCTCTATACTCGGCGCTCAATTACTGTCAAACTATTCGTTCTAATCTTGACGAATATTCGTATTGATACAACACTATTTGTGTGCCTTGAGGCAATTTACCAATGCAGAAATGTTGGAATTGGGTTTTTATCACTCGTTTTCCCTTTTCAAGAAATATATCTGAAAATTTTACTCAACACTACAACTAATGTTTTCCTACTGTTTTATACGATAAACATGAACCGTCTCTCAGTTACTCACAAATTATAGTTACGGTTTATGCATGGTACAAAGTAATAGAATTACGTTAATTAAAGATTACCTCCCTGTAAAATTTTATCGGATATGTGCCCAAAGGAATGAGAACAAGATATATATGAGGCAGTAAACAAGACATATCAACAGACATACAATTATAGTATACACATGTATGGTCGTCACATACAGACAAGTAGTAAAATCGAACAGACTAACAAACAATAGGATGGACCAGTGTTAAGTAAATATACAGACATGACCTTAAGACTAAAAAATCAAGATGGTTGACTTGGGTAACCAACATGGCGTCACCCAATTTAGTGCATATGCGCGCAGCCATTGTGATTTATCAATTTTAATTTAAGAGAAGTCCAGTGGGTTCGAATGGAAAGAATATAACATCGTTTAAAACTTTACAGTGCTTGAAATCAAAGTACTACTGTGAATAACGACTGTGTAAAATATTCAAAGAAATTTCTTCCATCTAAATATAAACTAAAAGCAATCTGACATATATAAGCAAAAAGACAATCAACCGGTTAGTAAGAAATGCAGGTCAACCATATGCACAACAAAAGGGTACTTTGATTCAAATCTCAATAAGACTTTCATTCCATAAAGCGAATTGCACATAAATCACTTAGTCTGCAAAATAGTATAGATAAGTCTAATGCCTGATTTCTTTTGTTGTACAGAAGAAAATTGATCATTAGAATTCAATTAAACAGTCATACTAACAAGGAGAAATCTATATACATGTCCATTTTTATATTTCTCTTCACTTTATTTCTTTATATCTACATTCAAAAGTCATTATTATATATAACGAAGATAGTAATCATTAATGGTCATTGACTTGTAAGAATATAGTATCAAAAGGATTGATTACTTGTGAATCGTACAGTAGGTATTTTCAAATAATAAAGAAGGTAAGAGCTTCAATCAAATTATCTTGCCAACACAATAAAGTACAAATATAACTATTAGCGTTTTACCACCATTTAGGCGTTTATACTACACTTGCAAGTGAGTAAGAATATGAAACGATTTTAAAATGTTAGTATAAACCTTCTTTAAAGTAGAATATAACTGTATTTTCACATTGAATATTAACCATAACTATTTACTCTATTCTATACTGACATATAGTCGTTGACGGTGTATAGTTTTTAGCATTAGGTACTGAACACAAACAATAAATTATCGGTTTTAAAAGAACATGAAAACAGAATGGCGTGTTATATAGAATAATCAATCCAATATATATAGACATACGATAAATTCAATGAGAACTTACAATATTTCTCTGCCTGGTTGATCAAAGCACTGGATACATCACGTCTACGGTAGTAACAGGCAACTTTAGCTTCAACAGCACCAGTAGGAGTCTACAGATTTAAAAGAAAAGAAGTGACACTATCGTTTAATGATGTAGCTAAATTGTAAGGTAGTCCAATTAATTATTTGTAAATTTTCGCGATTTTACACTTTAGAAAATGAGGAAACTCAAACTGTAATTTTAAAATACATATTGCGTCAGTAATAGAAAGATAAAACCTTGCAGTAGATGATATATATCTGTATAGTACCGGAGATTAAATATGTATAACAAGAAATTTACAATCAATAAAAAAAATCAATAGACCTGAAAAATAACGAGTAACTTGACCATCAATAAAAGCAAGAAAAAAGCGATCAATAAGTAGGTTGCGGATGTAAAAGGTGGGACACTAGCAACAATAAGAATAAGGACATGGATGAAAAAAATAACTAGTTAGCTAATCGAAAATGTGTATATCAACACATAAATGCAGAATTTGTCTAACACGAAATATAACCGATTTTGATCACTAAGCCAGTAGCAAGAAACTACGATCGGTTCCAGTTTTGATGAAATATTTGAACAGAAAGTATTTCAGTATTAATAAGGCTTTTCAGGGTATTATGTATCATTTGTATTGTCATAATATAATCAAAAAATGTGTTCTGATAAAACCAGAGGTGTAAGTTATTCATCAGATACCAATGAGTCCCATTAATAAGTTGGTGACGGATACTACCTAAATGATCTAAAGTTTCACTATATTCTGATTTTGAACACTTAATTTGTTGTGAACTTGAATATCACAAATAACGAATTATGCCAAAGTAATTTGCTATTTCAATAGGTTTTCGACAGAAATACACTAGATACATTAAAAGTAAAAGGCAACAACAATTAAATGAACTAAAGAACTCTTCACATTCTAATGAAACGATAATGAATGTCTTAATTACATTATATTGTCATAATGTACAAAGAAATTATCTATGGAAATAATCTAAATAAGTCAGTCACATGCAACGTAGAATCTGACACATACATGCAGCAATTTAAGTACCTACCAATAATCAAAGTGAGATAAAATTATCATGACAAATCACAGATTAGTGAAAGTAATAATGGTATCAGTAGTATTGGAAAATAATAGGTGTGGAAATGAAATGAAAAAGTATGAAGAGATTTTGAGACTCAGGTTCCAAGGGAAGAACACAGTGAATTTACCTGAGCAATGGTGAACTATTTTGAGTCATGTCACTCAAATCCTCTAACGGTTGGTTACGATAATCTTGTGGACCCCAATCAAGTAATCTACACCCATTAATATGGTTTAGTCCAATTGTCAACGACTTCATGAACTGATGTTATGTTTTGGTTTGGCCGCCACTAGCTTATTTCCAGCCTACTCCAACACCAGATAACATCGCTCGTCGAGGTAGACGGTGGTTGAAGATACGTAACACACGTCCAGACTACATCAATTGATGAAGACTCACTACCCCGTTAGGAACAATTCATTAAATGTATAACTACGGTCTTTACAGACAGATATGGATATGTTGTTTATTTAACAAGAAACTAGATGTATTATATATTATAATCACTGAACGGTGTCAGCCAAGAGGCAAAGTTACATATAAGTAGAGCAGGGTAATATACAAACTGAACACTAAAAATTCCATTGGTTGATAGATGTTACAAATGTAAATTACAGAAACTAGCGAAATTTTCGACGGTTTGCTACGAATCGTCACTGCAAAAACAGATTTTTACTAATCTTTCAAAATTATATTGTGGTTGAGCCAAGTATTGAACTTATGAACGCTAACAGTTCAGTTATTACCAGTCTTTTGTATCCTATATGTCATCACGCAATTAATCATATAGAATCTCCGTTGAGAAACACGACGGTTGTTGGTCTGCAACACGTATGATAACTAACAAACATATAGAGAATAAAGACTTTATCACAAATAACATATGTTCTAACCACTTCAGTTAATAAAGGTTTACTACCTGCCTTGTCGAACAATTTACTATTTTTACCAAGTATCCTACACCTAACCCCAACATTTGTCATTCAATGGTCCTAAAATACATGAATTATGCTTCGAAGACACCCGTGACCGAAAACTAGTAGCCTACGAATATCCTCTGTTCTTAATGGTAATGTTTTATAGTATAACTCAAAAACACAGTTAATTGATAGATACATTGTGCTTACTTTATTAAGTTCATCTATTCGACGGATTTGATATGGAGCAGTGGCTGATGATTCAAAATAAACGAAATCTACAAAAAAAAGTAATTATCAATGATCAGAGAAAGAAAATATATTAATTGTAACCCCATAGTTAATTTTATTTATTAACCAAGCTTTCTTGAGTAATGTGATACAACGAATAATTAACATGTTGATGCCATCTATTACATGTTAATCGAGTATTGTATGAGTGCTGGTAGTAACAACATCTAGCTATCCAGAAAATTAGGTAACCACAAAAAAAACAAGTGCTTAAACTTACGATACTACAAGTTTTGAATGGCTATTCACTGAAGTTAACTCTCACATACTTTATCAGTTCATTTTAATAGTCATTAACAAATTCAGATTGTTAAGAGTTTGTAAAAAGAAATAATAGAGTAGGCTAAGATTATAATTTTGACTACATTTTAATGATTCCACACTAGACCAAATCTTCTACCCCAAATAAAGTATGATGGGTTCTTTTTCAAACTCTTAGGCCGACATAACTGATTTTGCAAGTAAAATTTTATAGTGGAACGCATTCAATGAATGAAGGCTGATGATATTCATTCGGGTGTCCAAATCGAAATATGTGAAATAAGGTGGCTTAATTTCTGAGAGCCAAGTGTCTACGTTATATAAGTTATAGCTCTAATAGTCTAAATTTGCTAGTAAATGAAAAACATAGAATACCAGTTTTCTGCATAGAAATGCTTAGACAAAATACTACGAAACGGAATTACTCAACCAATATCACAACGTATGATAATCTCTTTGCGTAGGTATTGTTAAAATGGAACACACTCATGAACAAAACAGACTGAAGTAAGAGTTAAGGCCTAGTTGTAACATATCAAATTGGTGGCTCGTTTATCGATAATGGCATACGGAAAATAACCATATCAAACATTAACGACTAAACGTAAGAAACGCGCTGCCAGTGTTTAAAACAACCCCAATAACATACTCCATAATACATAATTTTTACTGATGCTAAGTCATATAAGATATTGCTAAAATACAATTAAAAGCTTTGGAACATTCTTTAAATCTATCTTGATTAGTGAAACATAAGATAGAGTCCGGAAACATGTAATGCTGCAAACTAATAATTAAAAAATAGCGTGACTTTTATAGATTGGTTGTTATTCTGAGAAAAAGTGGAAATAAACAACCCCCCCTTCCTTTTTTCGATAACACAAATTCACACCCGACTACATCGTGTAGATATTATACAGAAAAACTTTTGGTCTTTTCTGAATATAAACGTTTTAAAATAGGAGTAGGAATCTGATGCCAAAATATACGAAATCTACTCAATATATGCTACTAATGGATTCTTGTATACTTTACAAACTGAACATTAGATTGTATATTGATTTAAGTGCATGACCATATTGACAATTATATATAAATATGATAGCAGGTAGAATCAATACATATGTGAAAGTTCTACGAACAAATTGATTTTTTCCAATAAAAAGATGGAGGAATTTATTTGCAAGGTCGAGTGTCGAAATTAATTGATTAGTTATTTCGCTTTTGTATCAGTCAAGAATAAAAATGATATGACAATTGGTGAATATGTGAAACGATATAAATAGAAAACCAAGTTGCAATATCTCTGAAGGTGATTGACTAAAAGATAAGAACAGGCTATGATATGAAATTATTTCCTTGTAAATGTAGAAAAAATATGCGTAATAAGATGATAAGCAAACAATAACGCCTGAAATTTAGAAAGTCCTTTCAGTCCGTGTTAGTGCTGCTTGTTGCTATTACTGGTGATAGTCAGTCAGTCAGCTACAACGTAGGACCGGGCACATATATGCATCGGTCCAAGTTGCCACACCTCATTAGCACAACAAGATGAACACCAAATTCATAGTAGTCACTTTAATGGTAGTAATATATAAAAGAAAGATTGTGTATAAGATATAGTACAGTAAGAAAGAATTATTTCGCAGAAATAAACGTATAAAGTAATTTTAATCTCACGGTTCAAAGGAACATAGAGAGTGTATACATCGACGCCATTGTGATCGATTCTGAGCCATGTTATTGATGATAAAATCGTTGAAGACATATACATCCATTCGTATCAAAAATATTTATTCTAATGACAATCAAAATTATACCCAGGTTTTAAATCAACATTAATCAAGTACGACAATTACGCAGAGTTTTTACTATGGTTGATACTACTAGTACTATGATTTTATTTATGTCATTTGTTATTTCTAACTAGTTGTGCAGACGTAGTATGACAATGTGGTTTAACACAAATCTATGCCAGGCTATTTGTTTTTTACGACTGGTCTTCATATATTTTGAAATCAGTAAGTGATTTTTAATGCTAGATTGTTGGATGCAATATTAATAAAGCCATAAATCCCGATTGTCTTGCTTATTGGCATTCACAATCAATAAGTGATTACAACTGCATGAGAATATATATTGTTCGACTGATTATTCGGAGATGCCAATATACAAGTATACAAATGTGGGACAATCGATCTTACTCATATTACACGATTATGGATGTAAAATAGAAACCCAACGCAAAATACTGTTATAATCATCTTGAAAATAAGTCAACTGGTCTAGGGTAACAGGATATCATCAGAAAATAATGGGCATCTAGCTCGTCGTTTGGCTAGATTTTCAATGTCATAATGAAGTAAAGACACGTATCCCATAATTTAATAAAATGTAATTTCACAATGACTCGTATTTAGAGACCTTTAAATACACAACCTTAAGTGTGAGCATAAGTAACAGAATATAGATACTTGTAGTATGTTTTCTATAGATTCAGTGACAAGAAAATTTGTGTATTCCCAATTTCTTAGAGAATTAATATCTTATTTGAAAACATTCCAGATGATTAAGAGTACAGAAAACAGTAATGTAAAAGAAATGACACCAATTACGGTCTTCAGAGCTTAATTCAGAGCATTGGAACACTTAGAATTCATTCTTATTCATAGGAAAATAAGATAATGCCCTCAAATGCCCTGGTACGGTCGAAGGTGGAGAGAGTCTGCTCTCCATCTCAAAATGCTCGTACATGTCCACGCATATATAGACACTAAAAGAGAAATACAAATATGTTACGTAGAAATTCAAATTAAACTTAAGATAGTATTGTTGCTGACTTTACTACACTACTGCTGCCTTCTCGCGGTTGGGGTGTTGTTTACGAAATCGAGAGGATGAAAAGCGAATGTTCGGCACCTTAACTGGGTTGGTGGGTACCGAAGATCCATCTGGGGGAGTTGGAAAATTTCGATTCCCAACTAATGGTGCACATTGGCTCAGGATCCTGAGGGAACAAATGTATGGACCTATCGGCTACCATATAACTGAATCTTATAACGTTGCTCTATTGCCTTGTGGATTAGACGTCTAAACTAAAGGCTCGGGGAGTGGCTCCCGAAGAAAACCACCTGCTTCGGTTCGGGTACCCCAGAAATATCCTAGCTCACATGCAAATCAAATAATTACTACTGGAGAAACTACTCTTGCTTCAACGCCCATACAGATAAATCATATTCACAATCATTTGATAGCATTCATTTTTATATCTTTCATGCTACGTCACTTATATGTTTCCCTTTATTCACATTCTGCGTATTTTGTTTTTCAACTTATACAGCAGCTTGTCTATGGTGGAGACGGTGTTTCATCTAAATGACCTCAAATCACTGACTGGTCGAGAGTTGAATGCCACCACCGAATACGAATAATGAAAGTTTTTCTGAAGCCACATATCCATTCAAACTGGACTCCTTCAACGTTTGCGCACTAATGCAGATCCAACAACAGACAGGGCTGATTATGTCTTTAAAAAGTCTCAACATCGATGTCTGTTGTCTATCTGAGACCTGTATTCAAGGCTACAGTAAAGCATTACATGTTCTCTCCATCTTTCGCTTCGGAAAGCTTGTTTCACATGAGTCTATCCGGGAACCCTAATGCATCTTCGTCTGGTTTTGCTAGAGTTGGTGTCACACTAAGCGCTAGAGCTAAGGCAGTACTGTTCAATTAGATCCCCATTAACAGTCGGTTATGCGCTGTTAGATTAGGAAACTCCATAATAGTGCTGAGGAATCGGTGTTTCTGGATAGCACTAACTGCTGGCACAGTCATCGCCGATGTGCTACCTGGCGTCCTCCTTCTGCATCTCAAACTTGGGCTCAGATCGATCACATCGCGATCAGCCACTGCTGGTGTGGTTGTGTACGAGACTGCCACTCCTAGCTAGCTACCAGCCAAGTATAAATGTGCATTGGCTGCAGTTGCATGACGCCATGAAAACAGCCAGTAGAGTCGCTTGCAGATTTGCGAAACATCCCCCTTATATGGCAGTTTTTTCAGGCTCCTTTCAACCTATTGAAGCCCACTGGACCACCATGGGTGACCGTGCGTTAGACCACAAACGACGACTGTTACGTAATCAAATTGGGTAAAGCCTGAGTAAGGACCAAGAGGCTTGGTGGTCGGAGCGTGCTAACGAGTTGGAGGCAGCAGCTGCATTCAGTAGCTGCCGAAAGCTCTTTCAAATCATCGGAGTGATCGGCAGCGACAAGTCTGAAGTGAGTAAAACAATCTATGAAGATGACCGGATGCCAATCAATAACATCAACCGACGTCTAGGGCAGTGTGCAGCTTTCCGAGGAACAGTTCGACTGGCCTGCTGCCCCGGCAATATCGATTAGACTGTCTTATCCTCTATGGCTCGTGGCGACTGATCTACCCGCGGTAGAAGTCCACAAAGGAATACAACTCTTGAAGCGTCACAAATCACCAGGCCCAGATGACTTACCTCTGACGCTTTTTAAAGATCGAGACTTTCTGGCTAAGGAACTGACTGAGTTACTTGCAAAGGTTTGTCAATTAGAGAATGTTCCGACATCGTGAAATGAGTCTATAAATTCCCCTATCTTCAAAACGGTTCACTACGATTCCGCAACAACTATCGAGAAGTAAGTCCACTTCCGATCGCGTCCAAACTATCGGCTTCTATCATACTTCGTAGACTGTTCAAAATTAGAGAAAGAGATTGACTTGCGAGGAGCAGGCTGGTTTTCGTTCTGGTCCAGGATCCATTGATCATATATTCACCCTCCGTCAAATGTTAGAACACCGTCATACTTATTACAGGACAACAATCGTATTGTTTCTTCACATTAGGGTCGCTTTAGATTCTTTGGACAGGACTGTTCTCTGAGATTATCTACTGAAGAAGGGTGTGACTGAGAAGTTTATTCACATCTTGAAAGTCCTATATATAAACACCCCAGATACAGTGGAGACACATTACCACCTCTCTCCACTGTGTCATTTACCCTAATCTTCCCGATTACTGCTTATACTCTTGCTACCTCTACCACTACGGGATTCGAATCGACCACTGCATCTCTGTGCTAATGTGGTATGGCAACTCGAACTGATGTACGTACGTACTAAGTTCTACGTTGTTACTGACTGACTGACTGAATGGTGTTAGGCAAAGTTGCCCGATCTCACCATAACTCTTCAACTTTGACATCGATGACGTTCTGAGAACAGCTCTGATGCATGTACGTAATGGTAGTGTGGGTTTGCTACCCGAAGAAAGACATTTCAACCTCGGTTGTGCCGGTGATATTGTGCGATGATACCAAGTTATGAAATCCACATCTAATCAGTTGTCAATCAGTGTCCGTAGGTATGGCATGTGATTTGCACCTTCCAAGTGCAAAGTACTTCTACAGGACTAACAATCTGATTCTGCACTTACCATGGGTTGTGAGCAGATAGAAGTCATCAAGAAGTTCGTGTATTTGCATAAGTGCTGATGGTGGCGTGAGTAATTAGATCAAGTCACGTATATTGAAAGCTAGAGTGGCTTATGCCAATCTGGGTCATCTTTGGGGCCTTCGTGATGTTAGTCTGGCTGTAAAAGGTCGGATCTACAACGCGTTGGTGAGAGCAGTTTTTCTCCATACTTGTGAGACCTGGCCTATTCGAGGTTGAAGATGTTAGACGACTCGTTGTGCTTGATCATCGTTGTCGCTGAAGGATTGCTGATATTCAGTGGCAACTCCATATCAGTAACGCAGGGGTTCGGGATCGTGTGTTCAGCGCAGTGACGATGATTCACTTAGTGTCACTGTTTTGAGACATCAACTTCAGTGGTTTGGATATGCAGTAAAAATGCCTTCCTAGTGAATTCCATATCGCATTATTTGCCGGCGGTGGGACCGGTTAGGAAAAGCAAAGAGGTGATCAATGTTTGACATGGCCACGATACCATGTAATTTGCACTTGAAGTCAGTCAGCTACAACGTAGGACCAGGCACATATATGCATCGGTTCAAGTTGCCATACCTCATTGCACTTGGAAGGTGTAAATCACATGCCATACCTACGGACATTGACTGACAACTGATTAAATATGGATTGTATAACTTGGTATCATCGTACAGTAATACAATATCATCGGCATAATCGAAGTCGAAAAGTTTTCACCTTTTGACTTATGATTAATCTTAACACTGCTCAGAAGGTCGGTTAGTGATACATTAATACTGCCTGTGGTCAAAGACGTGCAGGCTACACATATCTCCTACCTTCATAGACCACGTATCACAGACATAGAGTATTATAGGGCTGTAATGAACAGTATACTTGCCCTTCAGTTGATAGACGAAACCCTCTTCTGAGCCATATGTGATGCAATTTGTCGGGAGTCAGGGAGACTCTCAAAAATTTTATCGAGATTTTTTCAGACATCAAACACGGCTAATCAGAATTCCAAGATATGCGACGTGGCTAATGGTCCTCACTGTTCTACTCTCGATAGAAAATTGAACTAATGATTGACGCAGAACAGTCATGAAAGTGGATTTTAAAGAGTGCATTGTAAGCACGCTTAAAACGGCAGTGTATCGTAATGTGGTTTCTATAAAAGGGTTCCGAGTACTCTGGTTGTTTCTTAGAACTACTACTACAAGGGTATGGTTAAAATATCATATCCAACTGACATTTAAGTAACCAATCCATGTTGCAAAAAAGCCGGACCTCTTTAGAAAATCTAAAGGACAAGTAATGGTTCAGAAACTAATGTTTGCCGTGATTTTGTTTGCTCAAGGATTGGTTATTACAGAACGCATAAAAAATGGCTTGAAGATCAAAGGTCCTGTTCTCTCAACAACTGATTAATCACCACAAATTTACCCAAAATATATAGTATATATACCAACGACGAATGCCTTCCTTCCAGCAGGAATTAAATCCTTAAAGAGGTGTTTACTGCAAAGGTCAACATAAACCAATTTATCAACAGTTTTCCTTCTTTAAGGTTTCCAAACAAAGAATCCAAAGATAACTATACCTAGACTCACTAAATCATTGTATAAAATTATCAACAACTGACTGCCATCTAAGAGGCATACGGAAAAACCCAGTATTCAGTTGGTCTAAAATAAATATGTAGCAGCAATGCGTAATTCACAAGCGCATTTCGAGGCCCACACTGTACATGTTGGAATCAAACAATCTAGGGATCTATAAAACGTACCAAGGAATCACCTACATTATTGGAGGGTGAATTTATTTTATCCTGCATGTAATGAGAGCAAGGAGTTACAGTATTTTTTCAATGCATATTCATAGTAAGAGATCTGGACAAAGTCTGTAGAAAACGAGAAACCTATTAGTATAATCTATGATCTTGAAAAGGCCTTGAAATAAGGTCCCATCCACCAAGCTTTAACTAAAATTAGATACATTTGAAATAGCTAGCAATCGGCTCAAATGGATCACGGATTCTTTGTTAGCCCGGTACATAGTAAGAATCAGTTATAAAGCTTTATATTGGGAGACAGTACACAGCGAGTTTTTTACTGACCTCATTATTGAGCCACTTTGTACTGAAGACGTAAAAATATGACGAGAAGTAGGAAATAATGGAGATACACGAGTCCTCAAAGCCGATCTCAGTATCCTGACTAACCGATGTGTGACATAATTATTGCCAATGAAGATATATAACCGTAACCACATGAACATCAGAAATAAAGCGCAGTGTTATGACACCTTGCCTTTCATTTTTAGAGATCTTGATGTGATACTTGTATCAAACAGATCAGTCAACTTGGTCAGTTAGATTTCGAGAAAAAACACGCTTCACTGAAAACATCTAAGGCATATGGAAGTTCAAAAGCTGGAAAAAAATGTACGGAAGTATTTAACACTATTTAATGAATGAATTGTTCCCTTCGTCTGTTATATTATTAAACGTTGCTTCAGTAGTAGTGTGCTTTATTTGATCATTTTGAGATTACATCATAGAAACTACCGAGCTATTTCATTAGGAAAGACTAGATATGTCGTTTTTTACAAGTATTTCATGTAATCAGTAATGTACTGCATATTGTTTCGCTACATGAGCCTCCACAATGTACAACTGCTGACGTGGCTGAAAAAGCCTTTAAATATACCATTCTAGATGTAAGCTGCTTAAAATACACCAGTAGAAGCAAAAAAGCATAGTCAGGGGAGAAACGTTCGAGCTGTACAAGTTCAGAGAAGGGATATTTTTGGAGGCTCATATAGAGGTACTTAGCCGTGGTAAAGACAAGACGCCATACAACCTGATTCGTTGGTTTAAATACATGGATTTGTGTACAATGACAACACAATGTGCGTTCCAAGTCGTTGCTCAAGAACTGTAAACTTAGTCAGAAAGTTATCTAAACTTTCAAAATCTTTATAGTAGTCGGCCATCTTGAACAATTATCGTATGTATCAACTGGACTTACCCCCGACTCTGTACATATTATTGGATGCCATTGGGATTCCGTCAGTCGTGTAAATGACAGCTATTTACAAGTACTCCGAGAAGGATTCGAATAAACCGTGGAATTCAGAGGGATGCTAGATTCAGAAGTTGATAATCCAGTGCGCGAACGAACAGTTGATCCCTAATCCGCGTCTGTGTGAGAGCTGTGCGTATGCACGTGCGTGTGCGGATGTATGTGTGTCGTGCGTACGTATATGCGCGTCTGTCACTAAGTCTATTGAGCTTTTTGGAGGGGTCGGTGTGTACGTTTGTTTTTGAATTTAGGTGCCTTAATTGTGCCCAATTCTCAGGCAAGCATCGTTTTATGAATTAACAACCCGTTCTAAACTTAACATCAACTAGAACTTCGGTTTTTTCTGAGGAAATTCTACGTAGATGAATGATTGTTGTTTTAGATGCAAGCCAAGTAACCTCAATGATATTTTCAGATCCAAAATATTATGGTATGATACATTTTTGAAAGGGTATCAAAATGGATATCGTTTTGAAGTAAAAATTCTGATCTGCTTGATTATCATGTTCGATTTTAATATTTTTAAGGTGTTGATGAGATTTTATTCAAAACAAAAGCTCTTATGACTTATTTGGTGAAAAAATGTGTGTATGGAGGCCGATTAGGAAAAATAACTTGATTTCTATCATTGTCGTACTGATTAATTTTTGTTGCTAAACTGAACTTACGTCTTTTTAAGGTGGTGGACTATATAGGATTCATTCAAATAGGCATAAACGACCTTGTCCTGTCATCAATTGTATACGGCTCATTCGTACCTTACACTCATATTATGCAGTTAGATGAAGCTCTGAAGTATATTACGTAAGACAGTTTATTGTCTTTAGTATTCTTTCATGTTAGATTATAAATCTCAATGAATATTTTCGACCAAAAATATTATTTGTTTCATGCCCCTAATATTGTTTTCGTTTAACTTCATTCATGCATATGGTAATAAGATTATTCGGTTTTCTTGTTTGCAGTACAAGATAACCGAAAGTAATGTTTGCTTTTCGATAGCTTTAGGGTGCACAGTTCCACATACTAATCACTACACATTTGATATACTACTTATATTGTGAAGAAAACAATACAATGTGGACGGGTAAACTATTCCATTCATGTCTATACATCAAACCAGTATTCTAGACAATATATTAACAGTTTCCTTTATCGGTGGTCGGAAAAATACCAATGACCAGAGAGATTTAAAAAGCATCCTATGTTTAATACCGAACAACTCAGTATTAGACATCGCTAATTCCGTTTGATATTAAAGACATAATGTTTACGTCACACTATGTCTACAATTTCAAGTACAGACTAGAGGGGGAATGAATCTATTCATAAAAATATATTAGCTAATTGAAAGCATGAAAACTTTATTCATCCCTAAATTTAAATCTTTTCACATGAATAGTAATATCAGCAAGTGATACATTACCTTGACTAAGTTTCTATTATTAACCATCCGACTTTCTATTTGTTTGTTACAGAGAACATGGAATTATCGCGTATTTTATTTGGATGTAAGTAATTAATAAACGAAGATCAGGTGAATAATCTAGAGATTAGTACTTCTATGGATACCATACTCTTAACTCAGTAACGACAAGCAGCAATCATTGTCTCTCTTAGTTTAGCTACTCATGAGTAGCTACATTTTATTGATGAGTTTTTTTCATAGTACCGCTACGAACGGATTGTTAATACTGCAATTCTACTATGAATAATACAAAAATAAAAATTTTTAAATTTTTTTAAAAACTATGTTGAAAAGTTTCAAGTAATAATTTGAAATTTCTACTACTATTTCAATTTAATATTTCAACTCTCAGCGATATGAATATCGTCACCGAATAACGACAATTTTGATTTGAAAAGATTGACCATACAATTTTCGTTTATAAAATAAATGCCACTTTGAAATAAAGTCCAAGGTTCTTTGATTAATAAAATAATGAATTAATTTTGATTTATCATGTAGATCATGTCATGTTTTCGAAATAATTGAACCTAAAGATATGAATAAATAAGTTCATACCAATTTAAACTAATTACAATTGATTGATCACTGGGTGGTGATCAATGTCTTGCTTGTCTAGTCCTTATTAGTGCAGATCGAATGCTATCGATCATGTTGCAGTGTGGCCACCAGTCTAGGTGACTCGACAATGCGGGCACTATGTATTGAGATTTAGATGGTGGTTGGAAGTAGTCAACAGGAAACCCTGGACCCGGGTTTCGTGCTACTTGGCACTCGTCAGTAAGGTGTACCTGTAATCTTGAGGGAACTGGTGCTGCATGGCGGATTCAACCTCGTGTCACCCAGCTTCACAGTCAGAGACGTTACCACTGAGCTATCCGAGCCGTGACTAACCTCCTGTAGGACTGAGATGTAATTACAATTGATTGGTCACTGGGTGGTGATCAATGTCTTGCTTGTCTAGTCCTTATTAGTGCAGATCGAATGCTATCGACCATTTAAACTAATATTTGGTTCAAATCGTAATATCTTTAAATGGTACAAGAAAATTTAATCAGTTAAGAGAATATTTTTCGGTCAATCTAATTGGTTTTTAAGACTAAAAATCTTCCAGTTGTATTATTTTTGGGATAACACCTAACATCAAGTTTATGTTTCCTTGGAAAAAATTGATTAGCAGCTAACAGCCTCAAAACGTTTATCACATATCTTATTCTGATGCCGTTGAAATTTCATTTTACCGGATAACAATAGATATTTAGGTAAGTGGAATAAATCGTTTAATCTCTTCAGTATATCTACAGATACATTCATTTAATTGTTAAACTATTTATATTCATTTCATATATTTGTTTATGGATCAGCAAAATAAAATCTGTCAAGCATACGCATATGCCAATAAGAGACTGGTCAATTGCAGCTCAAAACATTAATCGGTAGATCCAAACAACCAATGCGAAATTGATAATAAAAATTACTTTGAATTAACATAGAATAATAATGTAAATATGCATCATTTTAATTTATTCCATAAATTCTAGGTTCAATAATATTTTTGTGTTTTTTGATGATTTGTTTCCAGATACGTTTAAACAGTTTTCTGTGAAAAGTTGTTATTAATGTGGTCAACTACATTGTGATTAGAGCAGATACCTTCATTGACATCAGGTAATTGTCCCATTGCATTTAATTTGGAAAATGAGATTGAATTAGTTGCGGTATAATACCTTATTTATCTCAAGAGCTAATTTATTTTTATATAAGGTGGTGAATGAACATTATCACTTAGTTGTTGTTATATCTAAGACTTAAATTTTTGCTATGCTGCGTACAATTTGAGCACTCGAATGCCAGAACCCTCCAAGTTGCAAGTTCGAAGACAGAAGAGTAGGAAAGAATATCATTCCAAACAGTGCCAAATATGGTACAAAAAAATAAAGTATTCATAGTTTTTAGTAAAAACGAAGTCATCATTACAGTCATCCAATCCGTATTCAGCGGCTTTTGGCATTTGTCCAGTTGGGAAGCTACACGTCGAGATTCTGGAATATTCTTCCAAAGGATGATTAGATGGAATGTCTTCGGCTCTTTCTGTGCTTCTTAGAGCTTCCTTGAATTCACTGCCAGCTTTCTCCACAATTGTAAATAACAATGAAATATTTGTGAAATTCCACTTGTTTCAGTAACTTATAAGTAAATATCAATTCTTTATTAAAAACTCTCTTTATTATACTAGAATGATTTCTAAGAAAAAAAGTAATAAACGCTGAAATTTAACTTATAAGGTTAGTTGTTTTAATGTATCTGTATGATCATGCCCAATTATACATTGTATCGAAATTCAAATAAATATGTTTAGAAGTCACATTTAATCATTTATATACTCAAAACTTAATCACAATTAAGATCCTTCATCATATTTTTAATTATTCAATTAGATTTAATGGATTTATTTGAATAACATGATATTTGATATTTGAGAAATAACAATTAAATATGAATAATTAATTTATCAAGAGTAAAATTTATTTGTTTTTTCATTTATTCATTTACTTATGTGTTATTCCGGTAATCTGATGAAATATTTCTGTTCTAACATTCTATAGATAAGATTTTAATACTAAAATACAATATGAAATTGTAAAATGGTGGTTTAGCTCTCACGTGAATACAAGAATCACTAAAAAGAAAATTCAAATAATCAAAACTTAGTAAAATGTTTCACAATGAAAAGATGAATATTGAATAGGTTAATGTTTATTCCATATTTTTGAAAAATTTACAGAAGTTTCCAACAATTACTTTTAAATAAATCTCTGTATACAACAGTATGATGATTGCGAAATTTGTTAATAACATTAACTGAAAACATGAGTACACATATGATCAGAAATCCAAGGTAGTTTGTAAAAAAATATCACTTGTGACCGACTTATACTCTGATAGATTTAAAAATAATTTTATTAATTAGTATAGGTTGCTGTTTTATTTTAGTCTATCGTAGGCTTCAGTCTAGTTTGAAGGTAAGCTATGGACAGACGATGTGTGATGAGCAGAGTGTATGAGAGAATCTGAAAAATAAAAGAAAGCAGAAAAGTTGAACCTACGACTCAGTAGACACATAGGATGCACTTACATTCAATAATGAAAGAGATCAACAACAATTAATAATATCACAGGGATGAGGTTAAAACAGTCAGATAATCGAAAATGGCAGTTGAACATATATGATTTCAAACCTGTTACTGGCTTAATTGTGACACCTAGTTAATTAAGAAAAATTTTGAACTCAACAAATTAGCCACAAAATTGTTTGCCATATATACCGAATTAAATATTAAAATAATATATATTAGTTAGGGCTTTGATTAATAAACTCATGACCAAGTGATTGAGAGCTATACTGTTAATCACTAGTCAAAAGTAAAGTATTTGGAATTATACACGCTGAATTTTAATGGAATATATTGATTAAATAAGTTAAAGATATATGAATCATTTTATATTGGTAGAAAATCTAATCAAAATGAAAACTAGAACTGAACAGCCATTTAATACTTCCTGGTTTTCCATAATCATTATGCTATTTATGTCAGACTCATCTACATCATCTAAATAAATTATAAGCAACTACTTATTAATGGTATGATCTGACAAGGAGTTTATTAGATTTTAGTTTAAGAGT